GTTTCCTGCATGTACTGTGTTCTGCATGTGTGCAGTGCCCTCAGAGGCCGGAAGAGTGTGTCAAAGCCCCTGGATCTAGGGTTACAGGTGGTTGTGGGTGCTGGAAAGGGAACCTGGGTCCCCTGTAAGAGCAGCAAATGTTCTTACGTGTCAACCCATCTCTCTAGCTCTTCCATTTTATTTAGTTTTGAGACAGGGTCTTCCATTGAACCCAGAGCTTGCCCAGGGAGCCCCAGGAATGCCCCGTCTCGTCTCTGCTTCCACAGTACTGGGATAATTAGCACATGCGACTATACTTGGCTTTGTTTTTTAAACCTGGGCTCTGGCAGTTAAGACGCTGGTCCTTCTGCTGGCACAGCGAACACTTTGTAGAGTGAGCCACCTCTCTAGCCCTATTTTCCTTTTCTTGATAAAAAAAAATGAAATCACTCTTTCAGGCAGCTTTTCATCATGCTTTAGAGAAAGAAAATATAAAACCCCAGTGCCTAGCCTTAGGCCTGTTACCATCTCAGTGCCTGGAAATCTGCCCTACAGGATTTGGGCATCATTTAATTTGCTCAGCGGAGTGGCCAGGCTGGTGAGGTCAGATTCATCAATTTCACAGGGTGCAGCTGCCTCTTTGACCCTGCAGAAGTTCATCTCTGCTCATGGGGGACCCTCCCTGTCCATGGTCATGCTGAGGGGCAGGAGGAGTCCAGGAGAGGCTGAACAGTGTGAGTGTGAGACAAGGCGTTTCAGAGTCTTGGAGTAGCTGGCCAGAAGCCCTTCCGGGCCTTGGGGCGCCTCCAGCCACAGTGAAGTGTATGTTCTCAAAACAGGTGGCGTCCCGTCTTCCTTAATACCTTAATACAAAAGGGGTACAAATAAGGGTCCCTGCATTTGCTGCTTGTAATGGATGACTAATTTGCATGCTCTCAGAGAGACGGGAATGCTCTCAATCAGCGGTTCTCAACCTTCCTAATGCTTTCAAGCCTTTAATCCTCATGCTGTGGTGACCTCAAACCATAAAATTGTTTTCATAACTGTGATTTTGCTGTTATGAATCGTGATGTAAGTCTCTGTGCTTTCTGATGGTCTTAGGCAACCCCTATGTAGGGGAAAAATCATTTGAGCCTCAAAGGGTTGCCCCCCACAGGGTGAGAACCAATGCTCTAGATCCAAAGTTTCAAAGGGGCTGAGTTTGAAAACAAAGCCCATGGGTGAAGTGTTCCTGCAGACTTCAGGAGGCAAGTACCTGCTGAACACTCCGAACAGCCCGATTGCAGAGTGCTCCTGGAGTCTCCGTAAGTGGGGGATGGGCTCTCTCTATTGTGAAGCGTCAGCAGTGGCTTGACTCAGGGCTGAGGTCTCTGGTTTGAGTCTTAATTGTCTGCCATCAAAAGCAGGTGGAGCTTGTGGAGAACCCAGAGGTTGGGAGGGAACTGGTCAGATGTCGATGGAGGGCGACATCCTGCCCAGATACAGCAGGAGAGAAGGCAGTGAGAGGTACCATGGCTAAGCCAAGGCGGGGTCTTCCGGAATCTGAGCCAGAGCGCAAGGCTTGGCCATTGTGAGAGGCTTTGGGGTGAGGGGGTCGGGGCACACAATAGGAACTAGAGAGGGTCTTGTGGTCCTTAGATGGTCACAGGAGTCATAATATCACTCCAAGTAGGAAAAAGATTCACCTGTCAGCACCAAGGGCCTACCAAGGAAGGGAGATGATGCTCGAAATCAGGCTTGGGGAGATATGGGTGGGGTCAGGAGGCAAAGGGAGGAGCCTGTCTCTGTCACATGGGAGGTGGGATGTCTTCCTGGGAGATGCTATCCAGAGAAGCCTGTGCAGCAGACAGGACCTCAGAGAGCAACCAACAGTGCCCACCAGATAGGAGGGAATCAAGTTGGAAGAGGCAGGTCAAGGTGAGAAATGTGTTTTCATTCATTGCGTTGGTCAGTTGGATGGAGAAGGGACAGTGACAGCACTCTATTTACCGCTATGCTTGTGATGTGTGGTGAGCCCATGTGTCTGAGTGTCTTTGTCTGGACTCAAGTGACCCGCTGGCAGATCAAGTCCTCACAGAATATGTGTCCTCTGTGGCATTGGCCGGCAGTGCTCCGGCTGTGTGCAGGGCCTGGGTCTGTGGGCCGTGCTCCCTGGGTCTGTGGGCCGTGCTCCCTGGGTCTGTGGGCCGTGCTCCCTGGGTCTGTGGGCCGTGCTCCCTGGGTCTGTGGGCCGTGCTCCATCACCGCACCTCTGCGAATGGATCTTGCCCCACCTAGTCAGGCCTGCCAGGTGGAGTCCACATCTGTCTGCTCACAGCTGGCGGCACTGCTTTAGCTCACGTGTCTAAAGTCAGGTTTCCTCGTTTCTTCAAGACAGGGCTTGAAGCTGGCTCTATGGAAGCAGCTTCCCCGGGGCTGCCTCTCTCTCTGTTCCCGGCCGTGCAGTGCGCTTCTCTCTCCACTTTAAGTTTCTGCACTTTATTGTTGCTTGTGATTTCTCCCACAGAGATGATGATAAAGTCTTACGGGGGAAGGGGGTATGCCTCTTCTGTTTTTCGCCCTCTCTGGTGACACCTAAAGTAAGCATGCACAGAATATTGGGTGAGCAGGGAACTCTTTATGCTCGTACGGACCCTGTGCCTTGGGAAAGTGACACCAAGACATGGGGTGGGGAGCGTGAGCGGGGAGGAGCTGGAACTGCCCCTACCAAGATGTTCTCTGAATGATGGCCAGCTGGGGAGGGACCTGGCGATGATGAGCCAATCTGCTCCCTCAATGAATACGCAAACAGGATGCTCAGGTGAGGACAGCTGCCCAGGGATAGCAAACTGAATCGAGACTCCACAGAGCTTCACGGGGCTCAGCAGGGGCCCTTTGCTGATATTTCATTCTCCAGCCTTTGGTTCCCTGACTCCTCTCCACAGCCAAGTCTTTACCACGCGCTCGAGCACACTCATGCACGCATGCGCATGTGTGAGTGCAAGCCCGGATGTGGCCAGAGGACTTTAGTCTCTATTTTCTATCTCCCTGAGGAGTCCTGGCATTACAGATGTGTGCTATCCTGCCTGGCTTTAAGTGGGTCCTCACATTTATGTGGTAAGCTCCTTATCCACTGGGCCATCTCCCAAAGCCAAACCTTTTCCTTTTGTGGCCAGTTTCTCTTCTGTCAGCTGTGTAGATCTTGGCTTCACAGCCAGGTTCCCACACAATAGTTCCTCGGGTGCGCTTGTTGGTATTTTCTCTTCTCTAGTCTTTCTGAACTCCCAAATAGCTCTAGCCCCGAACACACATGCATACTCTCTCATGCTGTATCTCTTTCCCTCTTGAGACAGGCTAGTCTGGAATTCATAACTCTCCCTGCTTTGGCCTTTGAAATGCTGGAGTCATGGACATGAGCCACCACACCTGGCTTCTCAGAGCCTGCCTTTGAACCCCTGACTTTGTTCTGACCTATCTCTGGCTTCTCTCAATGGAAGGGCTTACTGTAGTGTCTAAGTCTAGATTCTGGCATTCCCACAGGATTCTCTTTAAACCCCTCAACCTGTCCTCGGATCCCTACTCAGAGCACAAGACAATGTCCAAGCCACTGTCCAGATCAGAAATACTTCCTTCCCTTTTATAGCGCACCTGTTTCCTTGCTGAACATGTCTGCCACGCCCTCCATCTTCACCCCAGCAAACCTCCCTCGTGACGTAAGTGGCGGGCCACAGCGTCCACCCTTCTCTTCCTATAGCCGTGCTGCATGTAGCCGTCAAAACACCAGGAGAGGCTGGGTGTGTGGCTCAGCTGGGAGAGTGCTGGCCTAGCGTACACTGCACAACCCAGGTGTGGTAGAACATGCCAGTAATCCTGGAACTCAGGAGGTGGAAACATGGTAGAACATGCCAGTAATCCTGGAACTCAGGAGGTGGAAACATGGTAGAACATGCCAGTAATCCTGGAACTCAGGAGGTGGAAACAAGAAAATTGGAAGTTTAAGGGTTTAAGTTTAGGGGCTTAAGAAGCATCCTTAGCTACAGGGTGAGTTTGAAGCCAATCTACTGAGTCCTCTGTCTCAGAAAACAAAACGACCCATGAGGAAGTTCCATCAATTTTCTCTTTATAACATTTAACAGCTTCTGGCTTTTGGGGGGATGAAAGCCCATGAGTTACCCAAGCACAGTTTCCTACTCCGCTCTAGGCTCCCTCCACTCGACATTGCAAATCACCTTGGCCTCTCTCAGAAGTTCCCAAAGACCGTCTCACCACAGAGCTCTGAAATGAGCCAAGAAGAGGGCCCCTGGTTATACTTGCCCATTGTCACCTGACATTCACAAGTGGCACCAATGAATGTCTCCCTACCCTGCTTAAATGGACGTTCCATGAGATCAGAGGCCACACAGGGCAGGCATACAGGTAGCTCAGAAAATATGCACTGACTTGGGGCTTCCCTGCCTCTCTCAGGCCGTTTCCTATGGGTTCAGAACACCAGGGTGTTCGGGGCAGGTGTAGGGGAGTGGGAGGAGACCCAGATTAACCCAGAACATCAGGAGTTGGCGAGGAGAAGGGGAGGGAAGAAGATAGCCTTGGGACTCAGCCTTGAACTGTGGGAAGAATTGCTTTGTTCTTTGACAGCGGGAGAAAGAAGGAGGGGAGAGAGTCACTGAGCCTTTATCAAAAGGTGACTGTGCTCTTTGACTGCTGTGACCTTTGTCATTTCAAGACATCCTGGGATAATTACATGGAGCCCGGGGGCCTTAGAGCAGGTAGCCTCTCACTGACAGAAGAGTCGAGAGGGCCAAGGAGAGGAGCCCTCTGCTTTGAGCGGGCATAGTGTCCTAGCACAGGGTCCCTGAGTTCTTGAGGGAGAGTGGCCTGGGGCTGGGTGATGTAATTTGATGACTTCACAAGCACATAGGTGTTGCCCTGTACCTGTGTGAGATGGAGGGCTGCAGTGAGGAGCTACTGTGACATCTGAGTCCTCAAGTCTTCAAGCGGGATGAAGGGAAGAGCCGGCTTAGAGAGGTAAGAAAGGGGCCAGGCTCACCACAGGAGGCTTATGAGACTAGCCTAGATACCCTCTTGTAAGCAGATGTAATCATTGACTCCAGTGAGCTAGATCTGCAACCTAAGCATGCTTCTCATTAGTAAGTGGTTGGCATCCTTCTTCCCTAAGGGGACAACGCCCATGTGATAAAATATCCAGCTGATATGATATTGTCTTAGATAGGGTTTCTTTTGCCCTGATGAAACACCATGACCGAAAAGCAAGTTGGGGAGGAAAGGGATTATTTGGCTAATACTTCTATACACTGTTCTTCATGGAAGGAAAGCAGGATGGGAAAAACAGGACAGGAACCTGGATGCAGTGGTCATGGAGGGGCACCGCTTCCTGGCTTGCTCCTCATGACTTGCTCAGCCTGCTTTCTTACAGAACCCAGGACCACCAGCCCATAGATAGTCCTCTCCCATCAACCACTAGTTAAGGAAATGCCTTATGGCTGGAACTTATGTAGGCATTTTTTCAATTAAGTTTCCCTCCTTCCTTGTTAGTGTGTCAAGCCACACAGATATCAAAATGCCAGGTTTCATTGGAAGTTGCCCCCCTCACTCCCCAAAGGTGGGGTAAACTCTTGGTGCTAAGTCATAGAGACCTTTTTTCCTCTCCTTCTAGCTGTGAGTCGGGTGTGGGGACAGCTGGAAGAAGAGGTTAGAAAAGAATAATCCCTGCCTGATATGTCTGACATCAAGATTTTCAAGGCATGATGGATGACAGATCAGGGTTCTGCCCCCGGGAGAGGGTGTCTGTGGTGGTTTTGTCCTGTGTTTTTCTGACCCAGAATCTCCTAGGCTCCTAATTGTCTTCATCTGGGCTCTTCTCCAGGGTCCACATCTCCAGATACATCCTCATGCTGGCAGGTCTGGCGAGTCTGGTCTTAGTCACTCTTCCTCACAGCGAGGTTTCAGGGCCTTGGTCCGATACCAGTGTTTGTGCTCCTTGGTGTGTGGGGAAGGGGTTTGAGTCCCCGTTTCATCATTTGGAACGTGCATGCATGTGTGTGTGTGTGCATGTGTGGCATGTGTGGGGTGTAGTGTGGTGTGTAGTGGTTGTGTGTGTGTGTGTGTGGTGTGTGGTGTGTGTGTGTGTGTGTGTGTGTGTGTGTGTGTGTGTGTGTGTGTAAACCTGAGATCAGCTCTGGGTCCCTTTCCTTGATGGTTCTCCACCTTTATTCTTTGAGACAGGGTCCCTCTGAACCTGAAGCTCATCTGACTGTCTAAACTGACCAAGGAGCTTCAGTGATCTGCTTATCTTTCCTCCTTAGACATCATCCACCACTATTTTTCTCCTCTTCCTCCTCCTCTTCCCCTCCTCCTCTTTCCCCCTTCCCCTCTTCTTCCCTCCTCTCCCCTCCTCCTCTTTCCTCCTCCTCCAGACTCATGTTTACTTGTAGGAAATCTCTGGTCTGAGTCCTGACCTAATGACTGGACACCTGGGAACTCAGTGATCTCAGCCTCCTACAGGCAGTATATGTCAGAGAAACAATCTCTCTGAAAGAATCACATTGTCAGGACTAGTGAACAGGCAGGAAGTGCCATTTTCTCTGGGTTTATTCGTCCTGTGGTGGGAGGGGTTGGTGGGTAGGATTTCGGGGTTGTCTGAGGGAAGCTGCCAGCTCTCCACTCGGGGAGGCCAGCTGCTAGGAATGGTGCTTGCATTCCATTTTATGATCCTCCTCTTGGTGACACAATGACACCTAAGGACACAGGGTGAAAGGAGAAGGGCCAGCAAAAGCAAGTCATCAAGGACACAGCTCCAGGGCAAGGTTACCCAAGCATGAATGGCTGGACTCGCAAATCTAAGAATCCAAAGCAAAGGGAGTGGGGTTGAGGCTATTAAGTAGCACCTGTAACCAGTGAAGAGCTAAGGGCTAGGTGATAAACAGGTGAAGCCATGTCCAAGTCACAGCTTCAAGATTACAGCAAAAAGTCCAGCCAGCCACAAGGCTATGTTAGGAGATTTGTGAAGTCTATTTATAAACATCCAGCCAGGAGGGAACCATCTGCGGTTGCCTCTGAATCTGCAGGGGTTCCAGGGTACCTGAAAAGAGGGGGCAGGGTTTCTGATTGACAAGTGTTCTTTTAGGGTGGAAATATTGGCACTGACCTGGCAGAACATTTGGCAGTCCTTGCTGGGTTCATTATCCACATCTTATGGGACTGGGAGAATTACAGGTTTTTCTGGGAGACTGCTCTGAGAGATTTCTTTGGAGGACAAAGGGACATATTTGGGTCCAGCAACAGCCAAGAACATCTCCTACCTCATAAAGCAATGTATTAGTCTTGGTCTCAAGAGAATGACCCCATTTCCAGCTGGGTTGCTGTTGTATTAGTAGCTGTGTGGGAATCACATTGAGGAATGACATACAGGCTCTGTCCTTTTCAGCAAAGGTGACCGCTCAAACTGGCCAGTTGTTCGCTCCCCATCAAGGCGGAGCAGGTCACGTGATGGAGCCTCTAGCAAACTACCAGAGAGTATGGACCTGGGTAGTTAAGCCACCAAGAAGTAAAATTTGATGCTGCTCACTGGGGCCCTGGAGGAATGACTTGAGTGGGAGTGGGATTATACAGCAGTTACTGTCATCAGGTCTTCTGACATGTAGTGGGGACACAGCAGCCGGCCACAGTCTTTGTCTTCTTGGAGCTTAAGGTTGGTCAGATGGGATAATCTGTGGACAAGAAACCACAGGTTGAAAGTCATACAGGAGCTCAGTGTTGAGTGTGTGTGTGTGTGTTTATTAGTATGTGTATATGTATATGAGTGTGTATATGTGTACATATGTGAATGAACGTGTGTATAAGTGTGTGTGTGCATGTATGTATATAAGTGTGCATATATGTTTGTGTGTATGTGTATATGTGCATGTGTACATGTATATGAGTGTGTATGTGTATACATGTATGTATATGAGTGTGTGTATGTGTGTATTAGTGTGTATGTGTATGAGTGTGTATGTATGTATATGAGTGTGTATATGTGTGTGCATGTATGTGTATGAGGGTGTGTGTGTAAAACAAGGAGAGAAAAGGCACAGGGCCTATGGACCTTGCTGAGATGACTGGGCTCTAACTACAGGGCAATGCGAGCTTGTTAAAGAGGGGGTGTTATACAGGATGTGACATTAAGCTTGCACACAGACAAATTGTTCAGCTTGATGCAGTTAAAGAAAGGAAAGGAAGACATACGAAGCAGAAGTAGAGCTGGAGCCATTTGTCCAGGCCACTGGGCAATGACAGTAGGCTGGGCCAGCAGGTTCCAGCAACCGGAAAACAGATTAGGACATGGGACTGATGGGACTCAGCAATCGGTGATCTGCTGGGTGGAGGAGAGGGAGAGCAGGGGATACTTCCCGGGTCTCTCTGCAAGGGCCATGGCTGTTTCCTGTAGGGTTGGAAGCACTGTAGAAGAATGATGTGGTCAGCTCTACCCTCCCAGAGTCTGAAGAACCTACAGACTTCAAAGCCATGGTATTGAGTCAGTGAACAGTTTATGGGGCTTGAAGCTCAGAAGAAAGGTCTGGCTGGAAGTAGATGCGGTTATGATTGACACCTAGGCTTCAAATAAAGCCGTGGGCTACTCATGATTGCCTTGAGTAGCCCATGGGAGGGTCCAGGCCAGAGGAGGAATGACCAGAAGAAACCAGAAACTCTAGACAGGGCTAGTACCTCAAGAAAGCAATAGAGGCCCTCTGTCAAACTTTGCTGAGATGCCCGGTAAGAAAAGGTCTGAAGATCCTTCACTGTCTGTTGAATTCAACGAACTACTGACCTTCAAGATCGTTTGATGGAGTAGTGGGAACTGCAGCCACACTGAAGGACAGGGACAGGTGAGTGAAAGGCATTTTAGAAGTGCTACCTGGCAATGAATTGGGGTGGTCAGCCTACAGGAATTCTTACAGGATTTAGGTAACAAATGATGAAGGTGCAAGGGTTTGAAGTTGCATAGAGATTCAGGAGACATGGGGCTCTGTGGCCAGAGAGAAATGAGGGAAGCTGGCCCCGTGTAGCTCTGCCTCAGAAGCAAAGAAGAAAGTGAACAGGAAATAGGAGCACACTGAAAGTCCAGCCACACACACCCCCAGAAGCATGTCCCTGCATGTTCTTGTTCCCACATGCCCTTAAAAGGCCCCCAAATGTCAATTAAGTGTCAGACCCAAAGGAACACGAGGAAGTGTTCTGTCTCAGGTTAAAATAACTGGTCTTTGGAGCAGAAACACCAGCATAAAACAAAAAGAAAGAACAACCCAGTTTTAAGGCTGGGCACAGTAGCACACAATTGTACTCTCAGTACCAGGGAGCCCAAAACAGAAAGATCTCACTTTCAAGGGTAAGCTGAGATTCATCAAGAGACTCTATCTCAAAACATACAAATAAAATAAAATTTGCTTTTACCATCCATTCCCTGGAAGGTTTCTAAAATTTCTGTAGATTTAAAGACAGTCAAAGAGGCTGTGATGGTACAAGCCTGAAATCCCAGCACTGGGGTGGTAGAGACAGCAGGGGTACTTGAGGATTACTGACTAGCAACTCTAGCCTCCTCAGCAAGTTCCAGGTCAACAAGAGCCTCTCTCTCTAAATAAAATGCAAAGCCCTAGACAAACAGCACCTAGGGTTGTTCTCACACAGGTACACATGAACACATGAACACCCCACAACACACAGACACACAGTACACATGTAACACACACATATACACATGACAAACAACATATGCACATAACACAATACATACACAGCACAATGCATACACAACACACACACACACACACACACACACACACACACACACTGCAGTCTATTTTCAGAAATGCCATAGTCTCAAAATAATCTTAAAATAGAAAAGATGTCGATCTTGGGAATTCACTTTTCTGCAAAGAACAAGTCCTTCCTCCTGCATCTTTGAGGACAGGACAGGTGACAGGCTGATGTCAGTCAGAAGTGCCTGGAGGCAGCGGTGTATGGGCAGACCCTCAGGAAACACAACTGTAGGGAACAGCTCCTCGGTGAGCCACCCAGGCCCCAACTTGGATGCCCTGGTGGCTGGGGCCCGGCTCAGGTCTGGCTGGCCCCAGGGCCTTCTCCATCAACACTTCCTCTGCTGCCCTCCCACTCTCTCCCAGCCCTCTCCCCAGGTGGTACCATGCAAAGCAAACAGGTAGACAGGTCTGTGCATCGTTGCCAAGGCCATTAACACCCACAGCTGCCTTGGTGTCCTGGGTGTTAGTAGCCCAGCCCTTGACCAAGCTAGTTACATAAAGTTCAGCAATCCCCTGCACTACAACCAAAGGCTCAGAGGTCTCTTTCTGTTTCTGCTGTGACATGTGACTAGAGGGACTTCCCAGCTGGCCAACTGCCCCAGTAAGTCAATCAGCAGGAGCTGTTACCACCATCCAGGTAAGAGACATTAGGATGCAAGAGCTGGTACTCCTTACTCCTGCCCCTCTCTCTAATCCAAGACTGGCGATGCTTTTGGGGCAGGTGGCCTGCTGTGAATGCAGGCCAGGGAGGCAGGTGGGGTCAGCATAGGATGCTTGGGGTTGTGGAGTCCAGGGCCTTCTGGGCATGGTAGCAGGCACTGAGGTTCCCAGGGAAACATTGGGGGGCTTGTGTGTTCCCTTTGGACTTGAAGGACAGATGACAGCTCCTGCAGGCAGTGAGGCAATGGTGGGCTTCATGGGCAGAGCGTCAAATTTCATGCCTTCTGGATCCCTGGTCTCACTCTGTGGAGCCATGGGTGCCACATATATCATCTCCATTGTGGGAGATCTAGGGAAGATCTTCTCACACCAGCCTTTTCCCAGGGACTGCGTGCTAGAACAAAGCCGGGTAGGTATGGACATTAGGCTTTATGCTGGTATCATTCAGCACAGGTTTGCTTGCTTGTTTCTTTGAGACAGGGTTTCTCTGTGTACCCTGACTGTTCTGGAACTCTCTCTGTAGCTCAGGGTAGCCTTGAATTCAGAGATCCGCCTGCTTCTGCCTCCTGAGTCCTGGAATTAAAGGTGTGGCCACCACCACCCAACTTAGTGATATTGAGCCTCCATAGTTTGAACTTGGCCACTGCTGGCTGTGAAAGACAGCCAAATGTTCTGGGATCTACCCTTAGTAGCCAAGCAACCTTGAGCCAGTTACTAATCCTCTGTGAGTTTCAAATTTCTTATTGATGAAACTGGACTAACCACACCCATTGCTGCCATGGTCACGGTGATTGAGCCCTGAGCTATTAGTGGGAAATGGCGTTGAACTTGGACCAGAGAATCTGACCCCCAGTGATGCTGTTACTCATGGCTGGGCTTCACAGAAGTTTCTTTCTCTGCCTCAGTTTTCTTCTGTGTACAGTAGGGGTGGAGAAAGAGTGGTCTGGGGAACTGCCAAGGACCAAGTGCTTTCTGAACTGTTCTTATGGTACCCTAATTGTCCTCAGGGAGGGGAGAAGAACGGACGGAGCTTGGCATCAGCCTTTCTGGGATGGGTTGTAGAATGCTGCTAAGATCTCTGGTCCTTCTGAGATAGTGCCAGAGAAATCCTCTGGTATCAGGAAAAGGGGTGCCGTACCTCCAGGCTCACCAGTACCCTAGTTTCCAGATTTGGCATCCAGGAAAGAAGAAACACACTGGTAAGTCCTCTGTCAAATTCGGTATAAGAGTTAAAGGCCACCCCCCCTTCCTTCCTGAAGGAGGACGAGACATTGCACTAGGCCGATCTCCCAGTAATGCTGGAGAGAAATGAATGGGGAAGAGACTTAGATCAGAGTCCCCATTTACACTTACTAATCAGGTGACCTTTGACTTGATTTTTTTTAACCCTCTGAAGGATCCCACTAGTATGAAATAAAACATTTATGAACTTGAATTGCAAGAGGCCTGCTACTTAGTAGGCACTCAACTACTCCTGAGTAGGTGTTCAATGAGTGCTGTTTAAATCTGAGCCTGGGTGCGGGTGCGTATGTCCTGTCTGGACTTACAGGAGGGCACTGTGTTGGGCTGCTTAAAATATATGACTGATTATTTCAAGCTCCTTGCCACACAAACATCTTCATTTTCTGTGTGCTTGGAGGAATGCAAGCTAGGAGAGCATGGCACCAATAAATGTTTCTGTCTATGCTACCAGGACATGGGAGTCTAGAGGGCCTTAAAGTCTGAAGGTGGTAAGGTGTGGAGAGAGGAAAAAGACCCATAATTAGAGTGTGCATGTGATTTGCAGAGTCCCAGGGCTTGTGCTGTAGAGACTCATTCACTCCCTCTTTTAAATGGTGGTCGGCCAGCCCTAGGACATTCTCTGCATTAATATCTGGTGTAGAAAGAGGGTATCCTGCAGGTATGAAGTGGGGTGGGTCAGCTCACCCCTCCTTCAAACACCATAGATGTGTCTGTATTCCCGCTGCAGAATGAGGTCCATGCTATCAAATATCACAGCATATGAGGAAGAGAAGGGGACTGCAAGTGACAACAGGCATCACAGTTGACCTGGGACTCTAGCACACACATCCTGTTCACAGACACTGGACTTTTCCAGGCACCAGAATTCAGCCCCTTTTCTATCTAACCTGTGACCCCTGAGAAGTAAGACCAGAATCTTGCCAGATCGTGTACTCCAATGAATTTCCTCTCTAGAGGTCAACCTGTTTTGCCAACTGTTATTAGCCTATCCTCTTGCCAGGTGGACTTTTGACTTGTCTGATTGATGCAAGTCAGAGTCATCTTTGTCCCTCAGCTGACTGTCTTGTAGTTCCTTAAGATTCCAAAAGATAGTCAGGATTGAGAACCACCATGAAGATGTGTAACAGCACAGCCTGAAAAAGAAGCCATGATGCACCAACCATGCTCCTTTGTGCTCCGTGGCACAAGGGAGACTCTTTGTCTTTCGCTCTCTGTTTCGCTCAGTGGGAAACAGTGGGTCTTGCAGGGGGTTCTTAAAGGGGAAAAGGTAGAAAAAATATCAGTCAGGAAAGCAACATTCTTTGCCATTGTCAACACAACCAGCTCAGTGACAGCAAACAGTTTTCCATCAGCTCCTCTGACAGCTTGGCCTCGCCTAAGTTGATGGTCATGCCCGATGTGACAACATTTACATTGAAGTGCTACAAGGCTGTAATTCCAGTATTTTTAAATGTTGGGTTTAAAGTTTGTGCTGGCTGGTTTCCCTTGTTTTGAGTTTGGTTTGAAAACTACACTTCTAAGGCCAGGGCTGTTTTAATTCGGGCGGGCCTTGAGCCTGAGATTTGGTCTAGCACCTCCTAGTGGAACCTTGGGAAACAGCATCTATTTTGCTTTGTCTGTAAGATGCCTTCTGAGCAGGGAATGCTGTCTAATCCTGAAGACATGAATACATGGGCTTGTTTCTTTCTCAAAGGACACACCTGAAGACTTTTGCTAAAGCAGGCAATGGAGCACATTCCCTCTTTTAGGACCTGTCTTCTTTACACATTTTATAGCAAAATAAAATAAAATAAAAAGAACCAAAGTTTATGAGGAAGTGAAGTCGACAGATGTTTGCCTCTGGCTGTAGAGAACTGCTTTTCCCTTGTTTTCTCGGTTGTAACAGGCTTCACAAATAGCAAGTGTCACTCAAACCAACAGATGCCTCCACAGTGTTGGCAAAAGTGTCCACACAATGTTACTTGCCAGTCCAGGAGTGACGGCTCACACTGGTAATTCTATATAACCCAGGAATCTGAGTAAGGCAGATCATTGAGTTTGAGGACATTCTGGGATGCATTGCAAATTCTAAGCAACCTGGAATACAGTGTGAGGTCATGTTTTACTCCAGCCCCAACCCCCCCCAAAGCAGAAGAAAGGAAGGGGGAAGGAGGGAGGGAGGGTGGGAGGGAGGAAGAAAGGAAAGACATTTTACTTTCCTTATTATCACACAGGTAGTGAGGGTTCCTTTGAGGCATTGTTGGAACTCCAATATTTCCTTGATCTAAAAGGCAATTCAGACTGTCCTATGTCAAAATGCCTCTCAGAGGTCAAAATGATTAAGTCTTATCTCAATTTTCCGAATGTAAAAGGGGTTTGGGGATAGGTCATAGCCAGCAACACAGCAGAGAGGCAGGAGATGGGAGCAGGTGTTTCTGCCCTTGCCTCATCATGCTTCATGCCCTACCTCCTCCTGGCCTACGCATGGGCAGAGGCTTGTGGACCCTCATTGCATTCAGGGAAGTTTGGTGATGCTCTTCCAGACTGCTGGTGGCACAGAGTAGGTGGTTCCGGCATCCTTAGTGGGGCAGCAACTGTGAGCCTGAGGTTGCATTTGTGGGCAGAGTAGTGAGGGTGACAGATGTCAGGGAGCATCTGTGCTCAAACTGCCCTCACAGACCTTAGCACTGGGTAAAGTTTCTTTGTCCTTCTCTGAGCATGTTACTCCCCCAGGTCCTAGGATTAGCAGGGTTAGTGTGGCAGTATCTGTGCCCACAACACGGCTCCACACCCATACAAAGTCCGAAGGCTGGGACCAAGCCTGAGGTCCATGGCCACCCACGCTACATTTTTCTGAGTAGACGAGAAGGGATGGCAACATCCTGGAACTTTATAAATGAGGAGCCACCCTCCTCCTCATCACTTTAGACTCAACACAATGAAGCTATGTATGAGGAAAAATAGCTAAGGCAGGGAGGAGTGGAGCAAGAGCTGAGTGGGGTCATGGGGACCAGTTCAGGGCCCCTAGGCAGACCCCAGGAGTAGAAGGTGGCTTGCCTGTATCTGTGCATATTGAACCAGGCAGTCATCCCTTGTCTGGCTCAGTCTGCCTGGCTTGGTCTCGGCCCAGCATCCCCCACTTCACGTGCCCGGTGGAAATTGCTGATGGTGTCAGAGCGAGTCCACGGCTCCCCTCAGCCTGTTGCTTCTCACAGTTCAACACTCAGACAATGAGTGTTACTATGCTGCCTGCCACTTCTGGCCATCGGCGTGTTTGGTGGTGGGTGGGACAACAGAAACAAATCTTCCTTTTCGAGATCCAAACTAGAGAGCCCAGGTGCTTCTGAGACTAGGTGATGATACGTCTCAAACTAAGAAAGCTCTGGTTTAGAGCTGGTTTGATGGGTCTTCAGTGGTCATGGAATACTTTTATTCTCTGTCTTTTACTTCCTGTAAGCCAGGAAATAATGACAGATGAGCACAAATTTAGGGGTGTGCCCAAGATAACTGAGTTTTGGTACATAGTGGAATCCTAGCTCTAAACACATAGGATGTGAAGGTTTATATATCCTCAGTAGCTCTCTCTGTCACCAGTCATCTCTGGACCCCTGACACCGTGGGAGGTAGCAGGAGGCCGCCATGTGGTCGTGATCTTTGGGTGTCTATGACTAAAGTATGCTACCCTGTTGTCAAGCTTCTTCTGCCTAATGTTAATATTTATCATTTACAGCCAGCCACTGCCCCCTTTCAAAGGTGAACACAGTAAAGTTTACGACAGGAATACTATCAGATCCCAGAGGAGGATAAAAGCAGGAGGGCGAGTGGTAATTCAACCATCTGTGGAAAGAAGCCATTTACTCAAAGGCTCAGACACCTGTGACATTGTGGCATGGAGCTGCCACCAGCTGTTTCCCTCATGGGGTTGCTGCTGTTGCTGCTGCTGGGACAAGGTAAGTGTGACTGATCATCATAAGATCACTGATCCTCTGCCCTGTTGGTGCAGGAGTGGAATGCCCCCTTCTGTTGAGACAAAGTTCCAAATGGGAAGTGGAATCGCAAGGAGGCTTTTTTGCCTCTTGTGGGATGGGAGGCAGATGATGCCTGAAAAGGGACCGACAGTTAGGGGCTGTGAAGGCTGTGGGTGTCGGGATGGGGGGTGGGGTCTTGGGAGAGGTAAGATGCACTGGCAAGCTGCAGACTCTGGTGGGGAAACTGAGTGCAGGATCACCAAGCCTTCTGGCACGGGCTGAGTGGCCTTGGGAAAGTTCCGCCTGCCTGGACCTCATTTCCCCACCCCCATCTTTAAAATGAGGTGGTGATGGGTGAAGAGGTAGCTTCATGGTAGTGTGTTTGTTCATCAGTACAAGGTTCTGGGTTCAATCCCTCAAAAAATGGAATAAAGTGGGTATATAAATATTAAGTCATGGTTATGGCTATCTGTGGCCTTTGCTTTTTTTTTCTGTTGAGGACAGATGAAGACAGATGAGTGTGATAAATGCTAAAGATGCTCATAGCCTTTAGTTGTATGAAGTTCTTAGTGAGCCTGGATTGGACCACACAGGTGATGAACAGGGCTTCTTATTTCTCCCGACGCCATAATTGCGAACAGGTGTACTCCTGTCGCAGCCTCTCTCTGCTCCATCCTCCGTGGTTTAGGAAGGCAGCATCCTCAAAGTTGAAAAGGGTCTTGGCCATGACCTTCAGCCCTTTCTTCCTAAGAGGCCTGGGTCTGGAGCAGAGGGCATTTCCCCTGGAGCCACACAAATAATGGAGGGGGTATAGCTGGGACAGAGGCCATACTGCCTGGGGCCCCAAAGTCTGCTTGCTCATCTAGGGTAAGGGGGTGACCTCTGTGGGCCTATAGGGAGACAAGTAGTGTCCACTCAGCCTATCGTACAAGAAGACTCCACTCTTTCGGCTTCTGGTGAGACCCATGGGAGAGTTTCTCATCTTTATTGATCACTGGGTTCTTTTCCTGTGCTGCTCCAAATCTTTCCATTTTTCTGTAGTTTTCTCTTTCCCTTGGATTATTCGAGTTCCCCACGTATACTGTCTACTGATTCTTTAGAGGGTGGACATACACGGCAGCTGTCTTTTTCCATCCCAAAGCCCGTCGCCGTCTTTCTGCCCTTTTCATGGTGAGAGGGAAAGTTAATATTGTGGAAACAGGCTATGAGCAGCCAGAGGGGATGGACCTACAGCCTGGTTACTCAGAGTCTGCTGGAAGAAGTCATAATTTGCGTTTTATAGAGACTCAGAGGGAGTGGAAAGCTTAACAGTGGGGAAGGGGAGGCTTCACCTTTGCCCTGATTGTGGGCTGTTGGCTGGAGGCATGCTAAGAAGAAAGGCATCTTCAACAATTGACTTGAGCACATTTGGTTTTCTCTAGTGCAGTGGTTCTCAACCTGTGGGTCACAGCCCTTTGGCAAACCTCTATCTCCAAAAATAATGTTACTATTCATTCCAGTAACAAAATTTACAGTTATGAAGTAGCAACAAAACTAATTTTATGGTTTGGGGGTCACCACAGCATGAGGAACTGTATTAAAGTGTCAAAGCATTAGGAAGGTTGTGGATCACTGCTCTACTTGATCCTGAGTTGGAAGCTGTTACAGAACAATAGAGACAGAAGGATGAGGCTTGGTGGCTGTCGATGACTGCTAGGGTCCTAATGTCTTTGATTTCTGTCTGGGTGCTGAAGGCATTGATTGTAAGTCTGTTCTATACAGTTGGCACTCTGTGTGTCTCGTGCAAGAGCACCTACCCAGGGATCACGAGACTACCTCCCATTTCTTTCTGTATTTGCTGCTCCGTTTCAAGTTAATCCTGGTACATCTAGGATTGCTTTTTGTTGTGCCTAGTGTGTGAGTGGAACCCAGTGTTAGGTTTGTTATTGTTTTCTTTGTGCCGATATCCAACTGTCTCAGCATCATTTATTAAAAAACCAATTGTTTCCCAGTGCTCCAATGAGCCATTTGTTTCACAGGTTAGGGGTCTATTTCTCTGCCTTAGCTCTGTAGCTCCATAGTAAGGTCGGTAATTGGACAAAATAAGTTCCTACTTCCCCTTCTTTGAAGTGTCTTAGCCTTGAATTCTCCTGTAAATCTATCAGCTTGTACATTTTCACCTCAGAAAGCCTGTTAGAATTTTGATAAAGATTGCTTTTGAGTCTAGGGATTAAGTTGGGGGAAATAAACACCCTTGCCAGTGGTGGTGTCCCATGCCTTTAATCCCAGCACTCAGGAGGTAGAGGTAGGCAGGTTTCTGAGTTTGAGGCCATCTTGGTTTACAGAGTGAGTTCCAGGACAGCCAGGGCTACACAGAGAAACCCTGTCTTGAAAAACAACAACAAAAACCCTTACAACATGGAGTTGTGAAAATCATGGCTACATATTTAAATTTTTGTTCCTAGTTCAGTAAGTTTTCTTGTTGCAGTCTTGCATGTGATTTAATCAATTTATTCCAAGGTATATAATATTTATGTTGTATGGAAAATGGGATGGATTTACTTTTTATTTTAAAATTATTTACCATAGGCATAAAGAAGTCAAATTGGTTTTTACATATTGAGTATTGAGCACACCTACATTCTCATGGCCTATCTGCTTCTTTGTTGGAATTCTCTTTTATCACAATCTGGTTGGTCCTGTCATCTCCATCTTCCTCCCTTCTTCTGTGGTTGTGTGTCTCTAAGGACTCTGAAACCTTGTTTACAATTTCTTACAGAAGAGATTATTGGAGGCACTGTTATTTTATAAGTTCCATTGGGAAGTGTTTTGTTTTTAATTTTATAAACTGCATTTTTAAAATTATAAGTGGATGTTCTCGCTCCCTCTCTCTCTCTCTCTCTCTCTCTCTCTCTCTCTCTCTCTCTCTCTCTCTCTCTGTGTGTGTGTGTGTGTGTCTCTTTCTGTGATGTGTCTCTGTGTGTGTGTGTGATACATGTCTAGGGGCATGTGCACATGTGTGTACATGCATGTGGAGGATAGAGGTCTATGTTGGGTGTTCCTCAGTTGTTTCTCCTCTGAGTTTCTGAAACAGTGCCTCTCACTGAAGAAGCTCATCATTTCAGCTTTAGCACCCTCCTTCCCCACCTGAGGTTACAGATGTGTGCTATGCACCCAGCTTTTACATGGGTGCTGGAATCCAAACGCAGATCCTCATGATTACATGGCAGCCCCTTTACCAACAGAGCCATCTCCCCTGCTCCCAAAGGATGGCTACATCATTTTTAAAGTCAGGTTTTTTTGGTTTCATCTTTTTTGTTTGTTTTTGTTTTTTTGTTTCTCTGTGTAGTCCTGGCTGTCCTTGAACTCACTATGTAGACTAGTTAGTCTCAAACTTAGAGATCTGCCTGGCTCTGTCTCCCAAGTGCTGAGATTAAAGGTGTGCACCCTGGCCTCCAGGGATTTTCACCTTTTAAATATCTACAGCCTCTATACTCATGACCCTCCTTTTAAAATGTATCATTATTATCATCGTGAGTATTGTGTATATGTAGTGAGATGGAGGCAGACACACACAGAGACAGAATACATGGTGTATATACTTGCCAGGGTATATGTATGGTGGTCAAAGAACAACTTTTGAGACTCAGTTGTCTCTCCTCCCATCTCGCATTTGAGGCAGGGTCTCTCCTGTTTCTGCAGTGCTGTGTACTCTGGGGCAGCTGGCCTGGGAGCTTCTGGGAGAATGGCCAGTTCCTTCCTCCTGTCTTACCTCTGGAGCGCTAGCATTTTAGATGCACGTCTATATCATCTCTCGTGTGGACTCTGGGGAGCAAACTCCGATGCCAGGCTTGCGTGGCAGGTGCCTTTACATACTGAGAAACCTGCCCTCTTTTTTCCCAGTGGGGGCATTGACATTGGTTATTTGAGACTTAACCCATATCCTTTTCCCTGTCTATTGGCAGTGCTGGGTATTGAACTTGTATCATGTACTACTTTACCACTGAGCTGAGTTCCCAAGCAACTCCCTTTGCTTTGATTTGTCTTGTCAGAAGGTTGTCCATTTGAATACTTTTTGAAGAACTAATTTTTGGCTGAGCAGTCTTCTGGGTAATAGTTGCACAGAAACTTGTACACACATCAGTGACTTAGAGCAGCCACCACTGTATTTGCTCAGTGGATTTGCCATTTGGAGAGCACTCATCAAGGACATCTCGTGTCTATTCCCATGGTGCCATCTGAAATTGATCCTCAGGGTCTAAAATGACATGTCTGGGTACTTGACATCCTTGGTACATTACCACGTTGCCTGTATGTCTAATGTGCAGCCTATACTCCCCCAGAACACAAGTAAAATTCACCAGAGGTCTAATCTCTGGGCCCGGACATCACTTCTGCTGCCTCTGGGGGCCAGGGCAGATTTCAGAGCTGGCCTTGATTCAAGGAGAGGGAAATCTGCTTTGCAGCTGGGTGAAAGATAGAGTCACATCACCAAAGCAAAGAAAAATGCTGGGATCTGGGCCAGGAGATGGCTCGGTCAGTGAATTGCTGGCTGCTCATGTATGAGGACCTAAGTTAGGGTCCCCAGAACCCACGTAAAATGTCAGGCTTGGTGGTTCCCAACTGTAATCCTAGTACCAGCGAGGCAGAGACCTGGAGATTCCCTGGGGGCTTGCTGGCCAGTTGTTTTTGCTAAAAATCAGCGAATTCCAGATTCAGTGAGAAACTTTGTTTCAAAACAAAAAAATAGAATTGTAAATAAATTAAAAAGCATAGAAAAATGATAGTGGAAGATACTGGATGGCAGCCTCCAGTTTCTATATGCATCTACACACGTGCAAATAAGTATATATGCATACACCATACACAAACTAATATATATATATATAGCTAATTTCATGCATTTATCTTGCTTGGTCTTCCTGGTGAGTTCCAAAGTTGTGGTTGATTCTTTTCATCTGTTAGAAGAATTCTCAGCCAATAATTCTTTCTTTTCCTCTTCT